CAATCTTTCTGACAAAATTGACTGTTTAATTTTATATATAATAATACTGGGTTTTCACGAAAATCATAAAAAAATTGTTTGAGAAATGTTTTCTTTATACAATACATAACAGAAAAAACAGATAGCCGAACAAATGCTTATATTGGGCTCACAACTAAGTCTCAGTAAGATTGGAGAAAATCCTAAAAATTTTTGTGCTCATCAGTCTTTGAAACTGACTTATGCAATTTTTTATCCAGTTTCAGGTATTTACCGAAAAATTAAATAATGGTCATAACTCAGCTGAAGAAGCTCATGGGCAAAAATGCTTCTAGGACTTTTTTAGTCTTGCTGAGACCTCCTTGTGAACATAGCATGAGCTCAAACAGTGGCTATCAGTTCGGAGTCGTGCTCAATGAAACGTATTCTCAGAATTTTATTAGAAATCCATACAGAGGTCACTAACATACAGTGTATTACTAAAAGGTCGATCGTCTATCCATCGAATTGGTTATTTCGATTGTCCTTTCATTGAAGAAAGAGGAAAAAGAGAGCAGAGAATCTATGTCTTGACAACAAACATATAAAGATTTTCCTTCTAGATCTCATCATGTCAGCAACACCAGCATCAGCTTCAAATGATCAACAACCTGTTGGTTTAAGTATGACACAAGTTGAACAAGTACGAACTCAATTACAATCCGATATTGAAATGTTGCAAACATCAGTACAACGTCTTCAATATGCTCAAGAAGGTTTTGGTGAATCAATGGTCGCTGTATCACGTTTACCAACAAATAATCAGGAAAATTCCTTACTTGTTCCACTTTCATCTTCAATGTATGTTCCTGGTCGTTTATCTGATCCTGAACATGTTTTAGTTGATATTGGTACAGGTTTTTTTGTTGAAATGCGTCCAAAAAAAGCACAAGATTATTTTAAACGTAAACATGATTATATTCAAGTTGAAATTGATAAATTACAAAAAGTCTTATATGATAAATTATTAACAAGACAACAAATTAATGGTATTATACAAATGCATCTTCAACAGCAACAACAACAACAACAACAAAAATAAACTATCTGTTTTGTCAATGGATACTCATTTGTTATAGTTTAAAATGATTTTTTAAGAACTTCATAAGAAAAATAAATTTGAATATCATATGAACAAAAACAAGAGAATGATTTACGCAATTTTGTTCTTTCTTAAAGCAATTTTCATTGATATACAGCAAAAAAAAAAATTATTTTTAATCAATAATGAATAATAAAAGAAAAAGCAAATCTTCATTCTTTTACTTAAAAATAAATAGATCAATCTCAGATAGAATTTCATTTGAAAAGGTTTATAATACTAGGTTCACTAATAGAGTCATGAATGATGATGATAGAAATCAAATGTTTTTTTTTTACCATGAACTATTTATTTCATCCAAAAAAACTCATCTAACAACAGGATAAATTGTAGAGATTGAGTTGCTCTAGCTAAAATAAAATAAACTGTCTATAGTTTTTTATATATTCTAAAACCAAATTAACACAAATTTTGATATCGACATGCCAAAATTTCTACGAATTTAAACTGAAATCAATATTATTAGTCGTTCTTTTCAATTTTATCATTTCAAAAAGTAGATAATAATAAATCAGTAATTTATTGTCTTGAGAATACTTATAAAAATACATCATTGGAGTAGTACGAATAGTCACTATCACCGAAATAATTTTTCTCGTTTTTATCTGCCTTTTTGTTGAAAATCCAATGCTAATACTAATCTACCGGCTGAGTCAAAATGATTTCAACATCAACTATTTTGAAAATAGCTTAACACAAACAAATCTAATAAAGATGAGTTTTCTTTTAAAGATGCACTGTCAAATTCTCTACAAGAAAGATAATGTAAAATCCCATTGAATTTTTTTTTAATAATTCTTCCACAAGGCTAAAATTGAAGCAACGTATGATAATATTTTACATGATATCATAATACACTTTGTAAATAAAAACTTCAAGTAATATAATATAAAATCAATTGCATGAATTCTTCGAATAAAAGAGTCAATTAATTTATGAACATCGCTGACGTAAAAATTTCAGGGCAAACAAGAAAACTTCAGCTGTTTATACATAATCTAACACATGTCCACACACATGAGAGAGAGAGAAAGAGTAAGAATTATTGGCCTAGATATGTACCAAGTGGATATGTACTAGAAAAGAAAGACGGACATTTACACACAAGAACGATGAAGAAGATAAAGAAATCTAAAAAAAATGAAATTATTATTTGTTATAGAATTACTTGCTTTAGTAAATAATATAGCATTCTATTTGTTATGAATAGAGTTTACCATAAAATGAAAAATATGAAAATGTTTTTAATTAGATTTTTATTAATAACTTGATCTGATTCGTTCAATTGTCGTAATTTTCTTGTTGTTTTTTTTTCCGTGAGATACATTTGTCTTCGATACTGAACTCTTAGTGAGTTGACGATAGAACAATGATGACTGCATAATATATTGTCGGACTTCTTCCAAGTTCAATTTCTAAGCAATTATTTTCCAGTGAATCAACGATACCTTCCGATAAAAATGCAAAGATGATAGCAGAGCATCTCTTCGACAATATCATGTTGAAAACGAAAATACTCTGGACAATCATCTTATCTTCAATCAACTACAGAAGAGTTCGACTATGATAGAGATATTTGACAAAATTAATTATAGAATCGAGAAAAATAATAAATGAGATTGTTAATTAGATCAGTTTTCAAATAACAATAGGACTCGAAATCGAGCACTTTTGAATAGTCCACCCAGGTTTGAAGGTAATGATTGTTAAGCATAACTCTATGTTCGTTGACACTAACTTTTTTTTTATTACAGTAAACTGATTAGAAATGTACCATATATCTAAATGAAAGTTTATTTTTTGATTTTGATTCTCCGGAGAGTTAGTACATTATCGAAGATAGTCTATTGACCAATTGTTTGATAAAGGTTCAACTGATTCTTTAGGAGCAATTCGTCTTTTACATACAATGGAGCATTCCACACATGTTGGTAGTATTATTCTTGATAATTAGATAAACTAAACTATCGCAATATTTGTCACGCTCTGTGCAACGGGAGAGAATGATTCATTTTTCTCGCTATATCCTTCAATTTTTCTTTGATTAATTACTTATTAATCAATCACTAAGGAGTTACTAATTATAAACAAATTACATATTTAAATAATGAGCACTTGCTAATAGCATATCGCGAAATATCTATCATTCAAAATTCAAGGGTTAGAAAAAGTATTATTTTGATTTTTTTTTTCTATCTATCACATTTTTATACTAATTAATATAATTGATCTATTCTAAATAATGTTGTGTATGTGCAAGAGACGTCATCAGTTTGAAATCCACATAGATCTTTGCTATCATAAAACTTTTTTGATGGTTTTTATTACTAATGACAAACATAAAATTTGTTAACTAGCAAAACAAAAGTCATAAAAAGCATCGGATGGATTAAATCAAACTCTAGTACATATAATTCTCAAAAACGAAATTATCAGGTACATTTTCATAGAAATACATTTAAAATTATATGTAATTTTATTCTAATTGATTTATTTACTCCTTTTTTTTTTTTGTTAAAAGCTAAAAGTAAATAAAATAAGACAGCACAAAAAAAAAAGAACACAGTCTGGCTGACGTAAAATAAATGTTATATTAAGGCCATAAGAATGAGACAAGTACGTAAAAAAAGAGAAAAAAAAAAGGAATTGGGCAAGCATTCAAGAACAAATGGATCTTATTGTGATACACTTCGTTCTTTATCAACCAAAATTCGATCCACATAAATCTCATGAGAAAATCAAAATCTGTTTTCTTTTTTTGCAAACAGGAATATTCATTTGTTGTATTCAATAGCAAATATTTTTATTTCAAAGAAATATATTCTTATTCATATTGAATCGAATAAATCGCGTAGCAGGTGTTTTTTTTTTTTACATAAAGAAATAATATTTCATCTGTCGATAGAAATAAGAAAATCGCTCACACCTCTCGTCAATCGGAAGAAGCTTATATGACTACAATAGCATACAAAATCGTATACAACCATGCATGGTTATTCACATTAGTCATATACATATTGTATTTTGTCGTCTATGACATGATACGCTACGGTCGTAATTCAAGAGTCAGATAATATGTTGAAATACGATCATATATAGTCATAATTTATACTGTATACAATCTTATACAATCGTTTACCATTGTCGTAATGCTCTGTCTGAATAATAATTGCGGATCAATATATAAATGTAAAATTTTTCTGACTAATAAAATTCATACTCTCAACAATATTTTCTTCATATTAATGTTTTTTATCATAATAAAATTTCATCGATTGATATTGTCACATATTAAACAATGTGAACGTTCATCATGTTAATTTATTGCATTTGTTTTTAATTGATGTTCTAGATACGTATCAAAAGTGAGTTTTAAAAAAGTTCAGTTATCTTCTTTTCGTTTCTTTCTTCATATTGATCAATGTTTCGACTAAATTTTAACCCCATTGTCTTCGTCCTGAAGCCTCTGAAAGAATCCAGGTATACGAAAGTACATCACTTGAAAACTTACAATGATTTTTTTTTTCTTCATTTCTTTCGTTTTTCTCCGACGTAGTTGTACAAAATGTATATATATATTTTTTTTTTCTGTCCATGACCTAGATATAACTACAGCATCAACAATCGCTTCGCTTCATGTTTGACTTTGCCTATACACCCTCAATAAACACCAATTATTTTTTTTTTTTCGCATTCATGCCTTCTTTTCTTTCTCAATCGTTCTAACATGATTCACAGATATACAGATATGGACGGTGAAGCTGATGCATCGAATGTTGTACTTTACACTTCCATTTTGAAGTTTGTCGATAGTACAAAGTATAGTTTACTTCGATCGATTTTCTTTCGCTATGGCCGTCGTCTATAATGCCATACGAATATTTAATGTAGAACGAAAAGAGAGAAAAAAAGAGAATAATAATGAAGAGAAAAAGAGAAAGAGAGAGCGAGAGAGAAAAAGAAAACGAGGGTAAAAGCATCATAAACTACGTGGAGATATAAAAGCACTAGTCAAACTTTAAAATAAAAGCATTTTTCATCATCATAACGAAAAGAAACCAGTTCATCTTATAACTCGTATTCAAGATCGAATAAACATGGAAGATATCAACGTACCATTTTCTGAAGTACACTATCTTACAGTTGAAAAACTCGGTAATGTACCTGTAACCAAAGGTGATTTCCAAACACTTCCTTCACATGTTCAAAAATGGCTTGCACAAATGGTAAAAGAAAATTTTTCTTTTATATTACTAAAAACAAAATCTTATTAATTATTTAGATTCAATTATGTACACCACAGGATGTACATATTTGTGATGGATCAACCGAAGAAGCTGAAATAATTACAAAACTATTAGTTACTAATGGTCAATTATCACCATTACCAAAATATGAAAATTGTTATATTTGTCGAACAGATCCTCGTGTATGTAAAATAATTTTTTTTTTTTGTTTTCTTTTATTTTAAAGATAATTTGAAATTAATTTCTTTTTTTATTAAAGGATGTTGCTCGGGTTGAATCAAAAACATTTCTTGTTACAAAGGATAAACATGAATCAGTAGCACATTCACGTGAAGGTACTAGCGGTGTTCTTGGTCTATGGAAGTCACCTGATGAAGCAAAAAAGGATATTAATGATCGATATCCAGGATGTATGCGTGGACGTACACTTTATGTTATTCCATTTAGGTTAATATACAAAAAAAATCATGTTTCTTTATTTTTTTTTTATGTAATTAATTTTCTATTATTAGTATGGGACCAATAGGTTCACCATTAAGTAAAATTGGCGTGCAAATTACCGATTCAGCCTATGTCGTACTTTCAATGAGAGTTATGACTCGTGTAGCATCAGAAATTTGGAAACATATTCGAAATGGTGAAGAATTTGTTAAATGTCTCCATACTGTTGGCAAGTCACCAAATATTGTTTTTTTGAATTTTGAATTAAAAATTGTTTTCATGTATTTAGGTGTTCCTCTTCCGGCTGCGCAACCAATTGTTAATAACTGGCCATGCAATGCCGAAAAGACAATGGTAAGTTAATTATTTTAAAAAATATCAGAAGCTTTTTTTATGAATCGACTATTAGTGACATGTATGTCATTTCTATTTTATGCATTTCTTTCATTTTTCACATATAAACATCATCTGCTATAGCGAGAATATAAAATTAGAAATAAAAAGAAAACTGTTATTGCAATCCTCGAGGGATTACAATATCCTAGATGATGTAGCCTGCTGTTGCTAATCATATGGAGATTGTTTTATTCTATCTATTTCGGGACATATTTCTTCAATATTGTTTTAATTAATTCTTCAGAAAAGTCAGAGTCTGTGACACGATGAGGGGAGTGTTGCTAAGACATGTGCCACAATCAGTAATCATCGTATTAAAAGCATTTCTACAATCCATAAAAATAAATAATCGTACAGATATAAATAAGTTGGCTATTTTGAGCCTATATTAAATAAAATTATTTGTTTTTTTGTTTAGATTCTTCATTTTCCAGATTCTCGAAAAATCATGAGTTTTGGATCTGGTTATGGTGGAAATAGTTTACTTGGTAAAAAATGTTTTGCTTTACGTATTGCTGGTCGTATCGCATTTGATGAAGGATGTTAGTATTTAATTAATTTAAGAAAAAGAAATGTTTTTTTTTTTATTATGAAATTTTGTTTTTTATTAATAGGGGTAGCTGAACATATGTTAATTATGTCAGTAACAAATCCTAAAGGTGAAGAAAAATTTATTGCTGCTGCTTTTCCATCTGCATGTGGAAAAACAAATTTAGCTATGTTAACACCAAGTATTCCGGGTTATAAAGTTCAATGTGTTGGTGATGATATTGCTTGGATGAGATTTGATAAAGAAACAGGTGAATTACGTGCAATTAATCCTGAAGCTGGATTTTTTGGTGTGGCACCGTAAGTTTTGATGTCATTTTTTTTGTTAAAAGAAGAAGACAAAAATTGTTTTTAGTGGTACAAATATGAAAACAAATCCAAATGCAATTTTAACTTGTTTAAAAAATTCAATATTTACTAATGTTGGTGAAACAGCTGATGGAGGATTTTATTGGGAAGGTCTTGAAGAGGAAACTCCAGCTGGTACTCCAATAACATCATGGACTGGTGAAAAATATAAATTAGGAGAAGATAAAAGTAAAAAGTCAAGTCATCCAAATTCCCGATTCTGTTGTCCAGCTGCTCAATGTCCAATAATACATAGCAAATGGGAAGATCCAGCTGGTGTACCTATTTCTGCTGTTATTTTTGGTGGACGAAGACCAGAAGGTGTTCCATTAGTTATTGAATCATTTAATTGGGCACATGGAGTTTTTCTTGCTTCACAACTTAAATCAGAATCAACTGCAGCTGCTGAACATACTGGAAAACAAGTTATGCATGATCCATTTGCCATGCGGTAACTAAAAAAAAACATAAAATAAGATTTTTTTAGTTTTTTTTAAAATTATTTTTAGACCATTTGTTGGTTACAATTTTGGAAAATATATTCAACATTGGCTTGATTTTGAAAAGAATCCAAAAAATAAAGTAAAAATAATTTTGTTTTTTGTTTTGTTGTTTTAAATAAATTTATATTTAATTTTAATTTAGTTACCCAAAATCTTTCATGTTAATTGGTTTCGTTTGGATGAAAATAATAAATTCCTTTGGCCTGGTTATGGTAATTAATTAAAATTTTTATTTATTTAATTGTTAATTATATTATTTGTAGGTGATAATATACGTGTACTTGATTGGGTTATTCGACGAGTTAATAATGAAGATGTTGCTGACAAATCAGCTGTTGGTCTTTTACCTAAAAAAGGTTCAATTAATCTTGAAGGTATTAATGTTGAATGGGACAAATTAATGTCATTACCAAAAGAATATTGGACTGGTGATATTGATGAAACATTACAATGGCTTGATGGTCAATTAGGTGATGATTTACCAAAAGCTATTCGTGAAGAAATTCAAAAACAAAAAGATCGTTTATCTCAATTACATTAGGAAGTCTATTGATGATGAAATTTCATTTGAACAATCATATCCTTTAGATAGATTTGAAATATATTAAATAAACATTTGAATTTTTTCACATTATATTATTATTATTAGGTCTATATCTTTAAAAGAAAATCCATTTTAAAAGTTCGGTCAAATATTGTTTTTTTTTGTTGTCATTTAAACTATTTAAAAAATAAAAACAATTACTTAACATCTTAGATAAGATTTATATTGTGATTAAAATTTTCTTTTAATATCATCATATACACTTAAATCATATGTAAGAAGCATTGGCGGGCCGGGCCATATTTTTCAGGGGGGGCAATAAGCACTTTTTCGCTTAAAAACGCTTGTTTTCATGGCATTCTTCTTAAGTCCCCGCCCAACAAAACTTTTTAGACGGGGGCGGGGGGGCGCAAAGTC